TCCCTGTTGACAGAAGAAGGTCCAGGGCTCCCAGCCCTCCATCTCTTCCTCCGTCACACTCCGTATCACGATTGTCAACTCCCCAGCGTGAAGAGGAGACAGAAAGCGCTAGATAGTTCGTATGGATGTCACCAAAAGAAGCGGCTCTATACAGCCTTGAGCGCCACGACCATATCCGACCAAGCTTAGAGGTCTCGTATTTTTATCGTTCATCTCGACAGCCGTCCAGAGGAAAATGCATACGATCAAGAGATCATTCCACACCTCGATTACGGTAACGAACCGCAAAGTCGGCCTGCTCGCCCTCCTGGCTTCTTATGTCTGCCTTCTTGTTAGTCCGGTGTCCGTAACGCGACCACAGACTTTGATATCGACCATCGTCAGCTGGACGTCTGCTCCCTGCTAGATAATGCCTCTCCAACACTATCCGTAATTTATCCGAGTCTTCCGAAGTGTATGTCAGCAACTCGACAGTGTCCTCCGATGCAATGGCGAGTTGAACGACTGCCGGGCGTATGTACAACAACGTCGGCGATAGCCCTTCATCACTTTCGGCACATTTGTCTCTACTTCCCGCTGTCGCGACTGCACCACCAAGTCCTTCCTTGACTTTCCGCCAGTAGTTCTTGTCCTCCACCTGCTCTGTACTTGTACTCGTTTCTGTATTTGTATCTCTTGTTTCCTCTTTTGTTTTCTCTCTGTTTCGCACTTCCTGTACGGCCAATGGCTTCCTTCTCCATGTAATTATATAAAAATGATGCCCGATTCGGTGTCGGCTTTTAACTTGCTGATCTTTCGAGATCACTCTAGCCTCCTCATAATCTGGTTGGTCGAAATGCCCTTCAGAAACGAAGATCAAGAAGATTATGCGCGAGACAACAGTAGAGAGTCTCAGCCATCGCACAAATTCTCCAAGTCAGAAGATCCGTACATTTCCGCGGAAGGTGAGAAGATTGGTCAAAAACGCCTGGAGTGCACATCTCCTATTCATATTTAATAAACACACTACCGGGATAGGGAATGAAACGTCACTCACAAATGGACTCGCTCTGTTTCAATGCCGCAAGGGATCTCTTCACTACCGGGGCAAGCTACAGTCACGATGAATGCGGAAATTTTGGGAAACTCATAAGCATTCGAACTGATAAAATGAATTCAGTACGATAATATGCTAATCCTGTTGCTGACGTTGCTCACCAACAAGGCGATGTCACGCAATCACTGAAGCCTACCACATGGTGAATGATGGAACCGAGTTTAAGATCCGACGGGATGGAAGGTCTTGCACAACAGCTCAGCAAGTTACCAGGTTTGCAGACTTCCACGATCCATGCCGAACTTTCGTCAAATACGCAATCGGCTAGCGCTGGTGTTGGACCAGTCGGAGACAAGAACGAGGTGGGCTCGCCCTTGAATAGTCGCACAGAGGATTACTTGGAAAGCCTAGCACGCTCATCCTAAATCCTTATTAATGTGTTGAACTAGGATACGAATGGAAAGTGGACTTACGAATGAATGGACGGATTGAACGTTCATTGTCTCAGCGGGCTTCACTGAGAGGCCAAAGTATGCAAAAAGATGAGAAACATCGCAAAAACACCACCCCAGAGCGTTTTTAATGGTACAAAGGTAGCGATATCGATCTATGAACTCCCGCGCGAGGCTTTTGAGTTTTTTTTCGCAGCGGATTCAGCCGAAATCGATTGAAGACTTGTTAGTCAACGTAAGCAAGTTACTTCGGAATGGTGAGAACTGAGAGAAAAAACGTACCGTTCGCGTTTATTACTCGAGCTTGTTTTTGCCTTTGTTAGTCTTGACTCGTGGGCCATCAGGGGCCAACTTTAATCCTCAAAAAACGTTAATAGTGTTCTTTTTGTGCACTAGAATGAAAAGGACGGGTTAAAGTTAAAGTTTGAAATGGTAACAGCAGCTGAATCAAAATGTGTCAGTTGTTTCCCACGCACACATTTCAATTTCTGGTTCACATTGCACAAGTCCGACTTTATCACATCTCCTTCATCACCAAAACGAACACGAAAATGTATGTGGATTTAATGCTAAGACATATATTTTGACATATGGTGGATCCTTATATTTGCTTATAAATTCTACATGTAAATATATTGCCTTGTCAGATTCTGCACATTTTGGTGATGTTCTCCCTCTGTTCTCTTACTATTAGATATCCCGGCCTATCTTTATTAGATCTTTATTAACTGGGAATGGTATGCTTCCTACAAAGTTCTTTTACTTGTGAATGTCAGCGCTGAAATAAAATTGAACAGACAGTGTGTGGTGGTACGATCATAGAATACAATGCAGCAGGCAACGATTTCTGTGTTGGCTGCGGGACGGTCTTTGAGGAGAATGCAATTGTGTCTGAAGTTGTGTTTGGCGAGTCGTCGAGTGGTGCGGCGATTGTGCAGGGGTCGTTTGTAGGGCAGGGGGCAAGTGAGTAACAGTTGGTGTTCGTGAAGTTGAGGTTAAACTAAGTTATGTTTATGTGTTGTTATTGTTGTTGTGCTTAGCACATGCAAAGATGGGAGTTCCGTATAGGAAGAGAAACACTTCTGAATCTCGAGAGCAGACAATTGATAATGGTATGTTCAAGTTTGATTTGGTGACATGGTCCTCACAGTCACGAATTTGTTCTAGCAAGCAGGAAGATCCGGAACGTCGGAACCATTATGCGTCTCTCGGAGGTCGTCCAGACAGCCGCAATTCGCATGTATACTCTGGCTCTTGAACATAAGTATAAATTTCTCCAATTCGTCCAAATCCTCAACCTCTAGCTCCATCAATGTCCGTAATGATGCCTTCAGCACCATAAACAGAGCAAGCTGCAAATGACATAGACCCGAAATTCAAAAGCAACAAGCCTTGGGCCTTTCCAACAAAGGTTTGCAAAATCCTTGCGACGATTAGCTGGACTACTGTATATGAGTGCAGCATAGAGCTGACACAAAACCTAGAACTTCTTAACGTTGCCATCCCGCCTGTACTCAAGCGTAAGGTTCGCAAGCAGCGAGGCCACAGTCAGAGTTGTAAGAAGAGTGAAGGGACGACTTCGCATGGTTGCACTGTCTGGGTGGGCAGGAAGCATCAAATCAAGGGTGTAGATGACGAAGAAGACAAGTCTGGGTCAACGAAGAAGCGGAGTATAAGGCCGTCCAATGCCCGTTCCATATCACTCAATAATGCAATGGGTGCAACCAACGTTAAGCAGCTGCTATCACGCAGCATCGTCCTTTCCGATGATCTTGCAAACTTGGGAAAATACGAGAGCAACAGGATAGCAAGGTTGCCATCCCTACACTGTGCATCAACAATAGAAGATACGTTGGCCAGTGGAGTAGAGTTCACGCTGATAAAAATGGAGGATGAAGAGGCCTCTTCGGCCCACGGCTACCATGTGTTTGGAGCATGCTGATCCTGGAAACTGGACCAATAAGTGAGGTTACGTTCCTGTATGACATTCACCGTAGTACACCAGAGCTAATGATCGGAGACAACGCATATCACAGGGATAAAGTCGACTCGACCAGTTCGACACCGATAATAACGCTACGTGCACAGTCAGTGGATGTTCAGTCCTGTGACGGATCCCTCATAATTGTTCCTCCAGGAATGATAGAGGACATAACACCACCAAACGAGTTGATGGGCGTTCGGGATGAGAGCGAGGGCGAGGGCAAGGGCAAGGACAAATCCAATGAAGATATTTCGGATTCTTTCATTCCTGCTGACAGAAGAAGGTCAAGGGCTCCCAGCCCTCCATCTCTTCCCTCATTGCACTGTCTCACAAGTGAGTCACAACATGCAACTCTACAGGATGATGAGGAAACACTGAGACAGAGTGTAATGAGTGAGGAGATGGAGAGAGAGAGAGAGAGGTGGAGAGAATGGGGAGGGGTGACATCCTGCACGCTTTTATATTGTATTGCCACTGAGCTCCTGATAATTTCCTTTGGAGGGGAGATGAAATAAGGGCAAACATTAACTTACCAACTAAAGCAGAATCCGGCAATTACTCCCCACATAAATATTTCTAGCAGTGTATATGACACATAAAGTATCTGATATACTTATCACTGTTCAACGTACTACAGCGTAAAAATCAAGGTACGAAGTATGAGGAAGCATGAGGAAGCAACTTCCTTTCCCACGCTTTTGAGCCACCAAAAGTGAACTTCTAAATATAGAATGAACGCGATGACCGTTCGTTGCACTGATCCCGCTTTCCTGTCCAGTTCCACCTTCCAGTAGATCGTTATTCGCCTGTTGGCAAAAATTTCTTAGCAATAAAGAGAGGGGAATGAGTCATAGGCAGAGGATAAACCGGGATGTTTCTCATTTTTCACGGTATA